GCACAAATGGGTGACAAAAAGATGACATTTCTGAAAGCAGTAATGCTGCAAGCTTGTCTTAAGTGCCTTAATTGAAATTCATCAAGTTTTTAAACTTGCAGATTAAATAGAAACCTGTTACATCTCTTAAAATAATTTTACTTTCTACTGTATAGGAATGGAGATTTTTAAGCTCTTAATCTTATGTGTCCACTCACTAGGTCACTAATATTTGTATTTGATAATTTGCATTTGATAAGCAACTGAGATCAAATCCAATGTTTTAAAGTGACGTTTTGGTATAATGAAGGCATGTACAAAGATGCTAAAGCTGCCTGTTTAAATTGCCTTAATTTAATTGGAAGTGAAACATTTTCCTCACTTCTTACTTTGGACAAGATCACTGGACTCTTTTCCAATAACTCTGCTGGAATTATCCATATTTTCTTTGGCTTAACTTTTTTAAAAGCTTTGCAGTTGCCTCTGAGATCTACAGTTTTAGTGGAGGTCACTGAAACAAAAAACAGCGTTGTTTTTTTCCCCCCTCTCTTTTTAATGAAAGTAAAAAAATGTATTTTAAATTAGTCCACTTGATTGATTGTTCCTTCTTTGCTGAGTGGGCATGAGCTTAACCTCTGTATTCCTTGCTTGTCTTTTACAGTGCACGCAAGGGGTGGTGTTTGCCCTATTTATTTCATGGGAAGTGACTGATGCTCAGCTTAGGCAAATTGAGAGTGGTTTCCATGAAAAATGGTAAACTTCTGAGATGTTAGGATATGTCACTGGATGTAGGCATCGAGCAGAAGTCGTCCTTTACCTTTGAGTAGTTCCTGGAGCAATCTCAGAGGGAAGCAGGCTTTTCGGTTAATTTTCTATACTGGTTTGCTGTGTTGTCCCAGTTCCAAGCACAATTTTGGGGCTCTAAAGGACAAATTCAGGAACCATATGCCAAAACAGGCCTGGTGTTGCTATAACACTTGTTCGAGGCAAAACATGATAAATCCCTTATCGCACAAAAGGATATTTGAAATCTCCACTTTGTAAGCGAGGAAACAGAAATGCAGAAAGGTAAAGTTTTTTTTTTTCCCCCACAGTCCCAGAATTGGAACCCAGTATCTGTGCCCTTCCTGCTCAATCAGGTTTTGGATGCTTCCCACTACTGACTGCTCTCTCAGTACACTGGGAGCAGAACCTTTGAACGGGCTCTACCTATGGAAAAACTGTGTTCAGCAAGTCAAGCTTAAAGCTAATTCAGTTCAGCTGCGACTTGAGTGGAAGCAGTTCAGCCTGTAAGAGTGCAGGCAGTGATGCGTCAGAGTAATTTGGATTTTTATTTCCGTCAGTGTTTCAAGATGGATTTGCAGTTCACCTCCTGTCCACCTCTGTCATGAGCTACTCTCAGGCATCAAAGCTGTTGGCACTTCTAGCAGAACCTTTCTACATACCTCCCCTATATTGCTGTTCAGTATGGCCTGTTTACACAGCAGCTGGATGCTCTGGCATTATTCAGTGTACGGTGTGTGATTAAGCCAGATGCTAAATGAATTGGTTCTGCTTTCATGGCAAGCTCATCAGTTGTGCACCTACTCTAAAGATATAGTACATCTTCTGTGCAGATGAACTGCTTTGTCCATTTGCAATGATTTTGCATAGGCGCCTTTTAACTTTCAGTCCTCGGTCCACAACTCCATGTCATAAGCACGTTCTCGGAAAGTTGCTAACTTTTGGTAATAGAATAAGCATTCCTATATTCTAACTAGTTCTAGCAAAAGTAAGGTTTTTATTAACAGAATTGCCTGCCAAGTGCCTCCTTACACTTTTAAAGATTCACTTCTCTCGCTAGACATGAAGAGGCAGGTTACTATGAAGCCCATGAAGGGAAGCTTTCAGGTGCTGATGTCTACTTGGCGTGTTCTTTCTCGTGAAAGATCTTGTGATCACAGGCAATGGGTAGATCCCATGCAGCTTGGTTGGTCCACTGTTTGTTAGCCCCTCAATGCATGAACTAAAAGGGGAAATTGGCTACTGATTGTGTGGGAGGAAGAATTGGCTTAATGATGTGCAACTTTATCACAAAGACTGTCTATGAGAGAGTCATCTGTTCTCCACCTGCCTGCCAAATCCTCTAATTATGATTCTTAATTTCAGAGTAGTCTTGTAGCCCTGAGCTTGAGCAGCATTTTCTTAGACTAGCAGATGATGCCAGGTGTGTTTTGGTTTTGGT